AGTTTCCAAATGTAATCAGCCCAGATATTTTAATGGAAACTTTCTCCTTTCTTTTAATAAGCATGCGGTTTGGTTAAAAAAGCACTTGGGTTAGGTGCCCCGCGTTGCCCTTCCGTAACCAAATCGCCATGGCAACAGGCAGCTGGTCTGTACAAAGGCACGGGCGCTGCGAGGGGCCGCCAGGAGCCCAGCCCCCGGGGGCAGTGTTTGGCCAGGCATAAATATCCTCGATGGGATTAGAATGTTTAGGGGGCTAAAGGCTGTGGGAAAACTTTTGTCTGCCATATTTATCTCTTCTGCTGCTGTGTGTTAACATTTCCACTCGGGGTACAATGGGGTGGAAAGTAAGAGCAAATGTTTTGATGGGTTTATTTTGAATTATGAATTCATGGGTCTGCATAATCGCCTGTCCGGCGTCAACTTGCTTTGCGAGGGGCCGGAGACGGGCGGGGGGGAGAAGGCAGTGGGAATCCACACCGGGAGGGAGCTTCGGCATGGAGAATTAATTACATGGGTGAGGGGAGCCGCTTTACTCCCTGGGGGACACTCTGTATCTTAGAGACAGGTTTCGGGCTCAGGGCACTGCCCCTGGGGTAAGGACTTTGCAAAGAGTATGGCTTCTTATTTGCCCCAGTTTGTTGTTATGGGGGAAGGGGGAACTGGCCGGCAGGTGGACAGGATGCGGTGTTCAGCATTGCTGTGGAGAACATTCTCCAGTTATGGGCCAAAGCATGTCCTCTACTAATTCACATGCTGAAGGGTATCCACAGCCCCTTAACATGTGACTGCATTTGGAGACAGGATCTTTGAGGAGGGAAGTTAAAATAAGGCTGTCAGAGGGAGCCCTAGTCCAATGCGATGGTCCCTAAAAAGAGAATGGACCACGGAGAGACGCCAGAAGTATGTGCGCACGGGAAAATGACCACGCAAGGACACAGCAAGACGACGGCCGTCTGCAAGCCAAGGAAGAGAAGCCGCAGAAGAAACCAAGCCAACCAGCACTTTGATGCTGGACTTCCAACCTCCAAAGCTGTTAGAAAGTAATTTTTTTTAATTTTTTTAAATTTATTTCTGAGAGAAAGAGAGAGAGAGACAGTGTGAGCAGGGGAGGGTCAGAGAGAGAGGGAGACACAGAATCTAAAGCAGGCTCCAGGCTCTGAGCTGTCAGCACAGAGCACGATGCAGGGCTCGAACCCACGAACCGTGAGATCATGACCTGAGCCGAAGTCAGACGCTTAACCGACTGAGCCACCCAGGCGCCCCTAGAAAATAAATTTCGATGGGTGAGGCCACCCCACCTGAGGCATTTTGTCATGATAGCCCTGGCAAACAATCTGCCAATTCTGCTGAAGACACGGGAGACACGTGACAGAAGAAGCAGGTAAGAAGGTCCTGGGAGGACCAGGCTCTTCCCCTTTTCCTCTCTCTCTGGAGAAAAACACGCATCACATTCCCTAACCGAAGACCCTGCCATCAAAGCAAAGTTAGCTCACAAGGTCGTCGGCTCCCTTCTGAGTGGCCCAGCCTTTTCCTTTATACTAACACCCGACGTCGATGTTACGTGTTATTGGCACATTTAAATGGAGCAGATGTTGAACTACTACATTATTTTGTAAAACTTCTGTGCTAAATATGATATGGATAATATGCTTATTCTTCTCATGCGTCCTAGGAACATCCAGGAGCATCCCCGCATGGACCCCGTGCTATGTTCTACCGAACCACCCCTGCCCTGTACAAGGGAGGGGAAGCCCCTATTCCACGTGCTCTGGGGGATGAGCGAAGTTGGAGGCAGAAGGGGGAGGCATGCCCCAAATCTACCCATCAACCCTGGTGTATCAACCCTGGTGACTTGAAGACACGCAAATTTAAGGCTGATGATTTGCATTTCTCCAAAGTGCACCTTGCAAACAAATGGGTGAGCGATTCATTAAATAACAGACTCCTTCAGTACATTTAGAATTGGACCCGGCGTGGAAATTCCGATTTGCAGGGAATTTCTTTCACAACGCTTGCATGAACCAAGCCTTCCTGTTTATTAGAATGAGGCACTGATGAATAACCAAGATCTCTTTCTTAAGCTGCTTAGGTCAGGACTGGGGGTGGTACAGCCAGACAAGGGGCGTGTACAACTTGATAGATGAATATATATACACACAGGAATATATGTACACATGTGCATCTAGCCATATGTAGACCACTGTATACAGATACACATGTATACATGTACATGTGATCACACACACACACACACACACACACACACACACACACACACACACAGAGTTTCTTGCAATTGATGCCTTCATTCAAGAACCATTTATCAAGTGCTCACTCTGTGTCCTGTTGTGCCGGGTGCGTAGAATACAGACAACACATGGTTTGTGCTCAAGAAATTCACAACACAAGAAGAGGAATGAGACCTGGAAACCAACAATTCTGGTACCAGCATCATGGCCCACACGGTGATGTTTGCAGCCACTGTTCCCAGGACCACGGTCTTGAGTGCTTTCACAGCCACCGCTTGTGAACTCCAGCCTCCTTGTGTGTCAGCTACCACCTCTGGCCCCGGCTTTCGGGAGAAGACTGAGAATTCTGTGCCATGAGATGGTCACGTGGATACTTACCCCATGCATCAGACATGGTAACAATGTGCAAAATTATTTAAGTATAACGCAAATTTGTCTTAGGAGGGTAGCGGAGGTCCTTTCTTAAGGACCTCCCAAAGGAGAATCTAAAAACCAAAGAGGAAACAGTTCGATTTTATTTTCAGCCCTTATAACCCGAAGCTTTTGGCTGGTCTCCTGTGTTTGGAGTTTGGGGTCACGATATCTGTACTGCTCCATGGAGGATGTCCGTGTTTCACTCAGCCACATTCTTCCTTCTTCACAGTCTGCACCTGCCTTCCTTCAGATGGCCCTTCCCTCCACTGGCGGATGTTGTAAGAAGAACCCTATGGGCCCCCCGTCTCCCCACTGTGCACTGCTGTCTGAATCATACACTTGGGCACCATTGCGCTTACGTCTCTTCCTCTGATCAGAAGCCCTCGGCATCTCCCCATCCAGGCACATTTCGAGTTTCTTAGCTGCATCCATATGCAAAAGAGTTTGCACATACGTGGCTTACAGAACAGAGTCCTAACCCTGAAACCGAGCTTAAGGCGCTCCCGCTCAGAGCCCCCCAGCTCTCAGATGCCTCCGCCAAGGGCTGTGGTGTCTGGACACCCCCTACCCTGTCTTTGCTGCATCCACCACCCCACACACCTTTCCACTCACCTGTTGCTCTCTCCCCACCTGGAACAGTTTATGATAAATTTTAAAAAATCATGAACACATTCATGTAAAATAACAACACTTGTGTAACAAACAAGAAACAAAAACTCTTAGGAAAAAAACAAAAAACTTTTGAGGAAAAGACACTAAAATATTCCGAGTGCTAATTTCTGGGTGCTGGAGTCATGCATGCTTTTTTTTTCTCCCTTCTACTTTCTGCGTTTCCTGAATTTTTAATATTAAATATACTTTGCTTTAAGAAGGAAAGCAAAAAACAAAAAAAGGGTTTCAAAGATAAAACCTACATATTCTTCAAGACCTAGCTTGGGATGCCAGAAAATTCCTCTTCAGATGATAATAGAAAGAATGAGCTTTTGGTGATCTAAACTTGAGTTCGGGGGCGCCTGGGTGGCTCAGTCGGTTAGGCGTCTGACTTGGTTCAGGTCATGATCTCTCGGTTCGTGAGTTTGAGCCCCGCTTTGGATTCTGTGGCTCCCTCTCCCTCTGCCCGCCCCCCCACTCACACTCTATATCTCTCTCTAAAATAAATAAACATGAAAAAAAGTTTTTTAAATTGAGTTCAGACCTAGCTCCCACTACTTAGTGGCTAGTATTAGCTGGGTGAGCCTTAGTACATACATCTAGAAAATGGGATAATGCCTTTCGTGTAAAATGTGGGGGATAAAATGTAATGGCCATAAGCTGGTTAGCACATTGCTGTGCTATGTGATTGCTGTCACCTTGTGAGGCCAATGGAGACTCCGCAAGGTATTCAGCCCCTTCTGCATCTCTTGCAGCTCCTATCCTGACAGGCACTTCATAAATATTTGGGGGAAACGGGAGTAAATCATCACCGTATTGAAATAAAGAATCTGCCAGAAAGGTCCTGAGAAACCAAGATACAGTGAAATCAGACTCCACCAGAAAGGAAGAATAAGCGAGGGAGAAAGGGAGCCATCGTACACTCAAAAGAAAATCGTAACCATCAGAAAACTCAGAATTATGACTCCCTCTCCCTATGTAACCTTTTCACATCACACATGTGGAAAGAGACCATAAAAGTTAACACAACGTGCAGTAGCGCACGTTACAGGCAGACTGCCTGATGTGTGTCGCTGCGGCAGAGGTGTTCCTAACTTTGAACTTCCTCACTTTCATGTGTCGGTAGTAGCGTCCGCCGAGGCCGTGCATCACGGGCCAGTTTACACTCAGAACCCAAGGCTGTATTTATAACGGGAATAAAGAGGGAAGAAGTTCCTCTTTGTGAGGCCCCGAAGCTGCCCTGCGTCTCTTGGGTTTTCCTTGAAGGCTTTCCAAGTGGCCATGTTCAGAGACATATTGGAATAAATGGGATATTTCCCCATGTTTGCTTCAGTTTACCAAACAGTGTTTATTTTCCATTAAAAAATTACTTCCAGGGGCGCCTGGGTGGCTGGCTCAGTTGGTTAAGTGTCTGACTTCGGCTCAGGTCATGATCTCGCGGTTCGTGGGTTCGAGCCCCGCGTCGGGCTCTGTGCTGACAGCTCAGAGCCTGGAGCCTGCTTCAGATTCTGTGTCTCCCTCTCTCTGCCCCTCCCCTGCTTGCTCTCTGTCTCTCTCTCGAAAGAGAAAAAAAAAGAAAAGAAAAAAAAAGGCAGCTCTGGGCTTGGTGAAGCTGGGACTTCACAGACCATAAATTATGCACGGTGCCCATTCAACCCCTGTCCCTCTGCTTCCAGAGACGTCACAGATGTCCCCTCCACACGAAGCTCCCCGCCCGAGAAGATGCAGGACGTGGAGTCTGGGGCTGAGGTGCAAACTGGTTTGCTGTTTTCACACCACAAGCAGGGATGTCTTCCGTGACCCTCTGCTCTGGGACCAGGTGAGTGGCCTCTTCAACCTTTAAAAGAGGCACAGAGAATGAGCAAGGGCTACCTTTCCTGGGGCCCTGTCCCTCACTAATCATTGTACTGGCTAAGAAATTATACCTTCCTTGTACCTTAATCTTTCATTCACTCCGAGCCTTATATTGGTAACATCTTCTCCCATGACAGAGAGCAGACAAGGACTCCGTTTCTAGAAGATTCGTCAGCCTGCCAGCTGTTTTTAAGGCTACCTTCACTCTGTCTTCGCAGTCCCAAGCAACACCGCACACCTGAGGCCTTTCCCTTTCTTTGTGGGCCTTGCTTCCTTACCCTTCATCAGCCTGGTCACCGTCAGGCTCCAAGGACTCCATTTTCTGGGACATAAGCCCACTCACCAGATGGGTAAGTGTGAGCTTCAAGACCGCATTCTAAATTCATCTTGAGTCCAAGGTACAACTCGTAATAGCTTCCAGGAAAGTTTTTTCTTAACGCACTTGTTGAAGTTGATACCAGCAAAACGAAAACAGCTTCACACTCACACGCACGCACGTGTGCGCACACGCACACACGGATGTTTGGAGTAGTAGAGAGGTCGCTGGTGCACAGGGAGCTATTTATGTCTTGTTTTTTTCCGAGGAGAGTCGGCTCATGACAGATGACCATGGCATTTGGAATATTTTAGGCTTCTGCATTTTATTTTTTATTTACTTTACTTTGCTAAATGTCTTTCGGTAATTCCGTCAGGGTTGCATTTTGGAAAACTACAAACATTTCCTTGGCAATGCCTTAGGGGAAAAACCGAGGCGTATGTCGGGTGAGGGCCAAGGAGCCTGTTCCCGTGAAGGAGATAGTGAGGTCGCCATGGGCTTTGGTTTCTTGCAGGTGGAGAGAGATGGGAGAAGGGGGAAGATTGTTTGCTAAAATTAAAATGCCCTCAATGTTTGTATGAACGTTCGGAAGTATAGAAATTCGTTCGGCAATCCCAAAGCAACGGGGAAATGCTGATGGTTTTAGCCTTTTTGCAGGTACATCCGGATACATGATTGCTTTTCGAGAGGCCTCAGGCCGGTGGAGCCTGGGAGAAAGCTCGGGGTGTCAGGCCCACAAAAGTCGTGGTGTCAGGTCACGGCACAAACGAGTGTTTTCTGTATACAATTGTTCTAAAAGTTTTGATAAACATCAAGGTTTCCTGTTCAACTCATCAAGGGTCCTTATAGCACAAACACAGAATCCACCAAATATCTACATTTCTTGATGAAGGTGATTCGGTTCTGGTTGGGGACATAGTGATTATTCTTTTTTAAAAATTTTTTTAAAAGTTTATTTACTTATTTTGAATGAGAGAGAGAGAAAGAGGGAAAGAGAGAGAGAGAGAGAGAGAATCCCAAGCAGGCTCTGCACCATCAGGGCAGAGCCTCACATGGGGCTCAAACTCACGAACCATGAGATCGTGACCTGAGCTGAAATCAAGAGTCAGACTTTTTTTTTTTTAATGTTTTATTTATTTCTAGGAGAGAGAGAGAGAGAGAGAGAGAGACAGCGTGAGCAGGGGAGGGTCAGAGAGAGAGGGAGTCACAGACTTAAACAGGCTCCAGGCTCTGAGCTGGCAGTCAGCACAGAGCCCGACGCGGGGCTCAAACCCACAAACCGCGAGATCATGACCTAAGCAAAAGTCGGACGCTTAACCGACTAAGCCACCCAGGTGCCCCAAGAGTCAGACATTTAACTGACTGAGTTGCTCAGCTCCCCCGTAGTGAGTATACTTGATAAACTCTAGTCCATTAACTTATTCTGGATGGTGCATGGACACGTCTGAGCTAACAGGACTTAGGCTCTTGTACCCAAGAGTCTTAGTAAATGGACTCCACTTTCCTGTTTATCTCAGTCTCTCCAATACTACTTTGTTTTAAGGCCACAATAAGCCCTGTCGGAGTTTCCTGTGGTGTCATCGGGGTGAGTGGCTGTATCACTACCATGTGGGTTTAGCGTCTACATACTGTTTCCAACATTCGACATCTTAAAATAAAGGCATGTAATTAGTGAGAGAGATTTAAAAAATAAAGTCAGAGAGAGAGAGATCATCAACAATACAGGGGGAAAAGGGTCATAGTGGTTGGAGATGGTTCTATGGGAGAATATATGGAAAGATAGTCAGAATTTGATTTGGCTGTGACGGAAAAGCCAAAGTAATATGGGCTTATATGAGGGAGAAGTTTATTTTTCTCTCCTTTCAAAGTCCAAGGGTAGGCAATCGAGGTTGAGATGGGGGTCCCGGGATCAACCTAGCTTCTTCTGTCTTGCTTCTCTGCCAGCTTTAGCTTTGTACTCAATGGTGCAAAACGGCTGCTTGAGCTCCAGCCATTACATTAACCTACTAATCAGCAGGAAAAGGGGAAAAGCTGCAGACTACACTTCCTCTAACACTCTGCTTGCCAGAAGTTAAATTATAGCTGCATTATATCTGGTTGCAAGTGAATCAGGGAGATCTGGTTTCCATTCTGAGTAACCATGTGCCCAGCTAAAAATCAGAAGTTCTGTTTTGGTTTGTTTTGTTTGTTTTTTGTTTTTTAGAAGCTCTCTTTTTAAAAAGAGGGACAAGAGGTAGTCTCGATAGTCATTCTTAAAGGAAAGAGAAATATTTTCCTGCAATTTATCTGTAAATTATGGCCATACTAGAGTTCATTTCATTAAAATTTGAAGTTAATAACAATATTAGTAATTGATCCAATTTTACTTACTTAGAGGGAATAGCTTGGAGGATTGGAAATATATCCTTATATACCCTTGAAGTGGTTGCCTTCTGTGCTGCCCTCCCCGCCCTGTCCCTGTCACTCCTCCTTGGCCGATCTGCCCCAATGGGGGTACGTCCTGTGGGCTAGCAATTAAAAAACATTTATCTCGCCCTTAATCGCAGCAGCCCCTCCCTTGCACCGTGGATCTGGGCTGCCCGTCCTTGCCGTGTGAACCTCAGTTTCCTCATGAGTTAAAAGTTCACAGTCAGGGGCACCTGGGTGGCTCAACTGGTTAAGCATCCGACTTTGGCTCAGGTCATGATCTCGCGGTCTGTGAGTTCGAGCCCCGCATCGGGCTCTGTGCTGACAGCTCAGAGCCTGGACCCTGCTTCAGATCCTATGTCTCCCTCTCTCTCTCTCTGTCCCTTCCCCGCTCACAGTCTCTCTCTCTCTCTCTTAAAAAATAAATAAACATTAAAAAAAATTTTTTTTAAAGTTCACAGTCATGCCAACCTCAAAGGTGAAATTTCAAACGTGCTCAAAGGAACTTGGTAAAGCAACTGTCCTTTGCTCTGAGTCTCCTGTCGCCCTCAACCTAACACCTGAGGAACAGATAATAGTAACAGCAAAGGCTGAAACCTCCGTCAGGCTCTGGGGAAGCCGTCCAGACCCTCCACATGACGGGAGGAACCTACAGGTGAGAGGGGTTAAGAAACGTGCCTGGGTCACCCAGCTGGGCAGTGACAGCCAGGACCTCAGTCCGGGTCCCGTGATTCCTGGAGCCCGAGAATTCAGGCTCTCTGCTGGGCTTAAAATAACAAATTTGGGATAAAAGCCCCCCCTCCCTTTTAAACCTGCAAAAATTTCAAAACTTAGACAATTTTCCAAGTTTCACTCAGAGGCACTAAAGAAGAAAGACCATCTTCGGGAGCTTACGGCCGTACCTGTTGATGGCTGAGGATGCCGTGTTTATAAACTTGATGTGGGGAATAAACAAGAATAATTACTGTTTCCTTTCATTTGTGCCTTAAAACCCGGAGGATATGGAACCAGTTTTTAAATGTTTATTTTTGAGAGAGAGAGAGAGTGCGAGCTCGGGAGGGGCAGAGAGAAAGGGAGACACAGAATCTGAGGCAGGACCCAGGCTCTGAGCTGTCAGCACAGAGCCTGACGCGGGGCTTGAACTCACAGACCGCGAGATCATGACCTAAGCTGAAGTCAGACCCTCACCTGACCGAGCCACCCGGGCGCCCTTATATGGAACCATTTGTAAGGAGAACCGAGTCCGTTGCAGCCTGTTTTCAGCTCCACTGCAGACCTGCTCACATTAATCAGGGAGGTGCGGTTTTCTCACGACCCCAGCTGGGAAAGCCACCTGAAAGAGCCTTTGTCCCAGGGCCTCAATGAGCAGCCCCAGTCTACACAGCCTGCTGTCCCACACTCTGCCCCTTGCACGGCAGGCACTGGAGTGGATTCATTCTCGACGTGCTGCTGTTTCTCTGACTCAGCGCATGTCTTCCCTCGATCATGGGCATCTTGCTGTGAACTGAAGCCCCAGGGAAAGCGCTTCTCCCCACACCATCCCCCATCCGGGCGCGTCGCTCCTTCCAGTCCCAGGAAGCTGGAGAACGTGGGCTCTCCGCAGTGGCTGGCCGGGCGACAGATAAAAGGCACCCAGGTTGGCACAAACCAGCCTGGGAAGTAGAAACTGCTTGTGCCAGGCCAGATGGCCACTCGTTTCGCCTCTGTTTGAAGATGCTAATCCCACAGGCCATGGGTCATCTTAGCCAGTGCCTTCTACGTGGGGTTTCTGCCTGAGCATGGAAATATAAGACCAAAAAAGAAAAAAAATTTTTTTCTTTGCTTCTGAGTAAGGGACCCTTGGCACCCCTTCCTTCTGATCACTGCCTATTCTTTGTCTCTACTTTTATTTATTTTATTTTATTTTATTTTTTATTTTTGAGAGAGAGAGAGAGAGCGAGCAATCAAGCACGAGCAAGGGAGAGGCAGAGAGAGGGAGGCAGAGAACCCCAAGCAGGCTCTAAGGTGCCAGCGCAGAGCCCAACACGGGGCTCGAACTCATGAACCACGAGATCAGGACCTGAGCTGAAACCAAGACTCAGACGCTTTAACCGACTGAGCCACCCAGGCTCCTAGGCTTTGACTTTTCTGACAATGCGAGAGAAGGTCTTACTCCGCACCATGCCCAGGTCACGCTGGGTGCCTGGTGGCTGCGGGCAGCACTGAGCTGAAGATACGGTGGTTGACTGGAGGCTGCACCCTACGGATGACAGCTGGGTCGCCCTCATCACGGCTGGACCTCGACCTCAAATCCCGTGAGTTTCTCTGTGTGGAACTGGAGACATCTCTCCCTCCACCCAGACACCAGCTTCTGCGCAAAGGCAATCGTGCCTTAATAGCTGGGCTAGGTTTCTGCTAGAAAGTTCTGGCTTCAGAAGATGAGCTATTTGCTTCATTACCTGCCCAGCCTTTGATGGGAGGCTGTCCCTATTCTTGGAGAATAACGACAGCAGCAGCCTCCAGCCTGCTCCCAGTCTTAAGGAGCGAGAGCAGAGAGAGATGGGCGACCATGTCCAGGGCTGATAAAGCCGGCAGAGGGCCCACTCAGCCTCCAAGGCGAGAGGAAGGATCCTTTGTCTACTCCCCGCAGGGCTCGCTAGCCTGTCCCGCCCCCCAGCTTGACCAATCACTTAGCTGAGTGACCTTGGGGACATTAGAGACTCTCCCCATCTCCGTGTCTCTGTCTGTAAAAGTAATAGTACCCGTTTCACAGGGTGGTGATAAGGATTAACTGTGTTGATGAGTACGAAGGGCTGAATGCAGTGCTTGGGCCATAGATGTGCTCAATAAATACTCATTCTGGTTACTCCTGTGTCCGCTAGAAATCAATCTCCAAATGGTTAGCTAGAGATGTGTTTAAGCCTTGAACATGTTTCATTAGGAATTAAAGACATTTACTTTAGGGGCGCCCGGATGGCTCAGTCGGTTGGGCATCCGACTTTGGCTCAGGTCATGATCTTGTGATGCATGGGTTCAAGCCCCATGTCAGGCTCTGTGCTGACAGCTCGGAGCCTGGAGCCTGCTTCGGATTCTGTGTCTCCCTCTCTCTCTGCCCCCAACCTGCTCCCGCTCTGTCTCTTTCTCTCAAAAAATAAACAAACATTAAAAAAAAATTTTAAGACATATACTTGATTAAATTCGGCAGACTCTAGGACTTAAATCCCTACTAAAGACGAAAGGAGATAGTAGAAATTAACATAATGGTGGTACCCAGAGGTAATGAAACAGGGTGGAGATTAGGAGCAGGACCCTGGGTTCAGCAGCTTAAATGGCCAAAACTTGTATGACTTAGGGCACCCAGGTGGCTCGGTCAGTCAGTTAAGCATCCGACTTCAGCTCAGGTCATGATCACATGGTTTGTGAGTTTGAGCCCCACATCGGGCTCTGTGCTGTCAACATGGAGCTTGCTTCAGATCCTCTATCCCCCTTTCTCTCTGCCCCCCACCCTCAGCTGGCATTCACTCTCTCTTAAAAATAAACATTAAAAAACCCTTGTATGACTCCATTCATTCATTCATTCATTCAAATAATGAATATTTATTGAGTGCATAGTGGTGTCCGGGCACCGTGCTAAGTACTGGAGATCCCGGGATGAACTTGGATAAGTTCACAGAACTTATGTCATAAGAGGAGGTGGGGGAAGGGGAGGAAGGTGATGGAAATTTAACAAGTGCATGAACGCCATCATGTTGGATAGTGGCTGGTTATCCATTGTGGGGCCTAAACCCCCCTAAAGCCAGGTGACCTAAAACCACCATTTGTGTGCTTAGGACTCTGCAGTTTGGGGACAGCTGGTCTTCGCCCCACGTGGCATCCACGAGGTTGCCGGCTATCAGCTCGTGGCGATTGGCCCGGGCCTTCGTGCCCCCCTCATCCTCTCTGCCCAGATGGGCCTCCCATAGAGGAGCAGCCCAAGTAGGTGAGAAAGCATTTCAGGGTGAAAAGCGGCAACAGAGCCAGGAAGCCACCACAGGGTCCGTGGGAGGGAGGGGTGCCATCCGACCCCGCAATTGCAGGGCATCTCTGTCCCTCCGTGGTTTCTGCATCCACAAAATGGGAGACGTGCCTGAGCGGCTTCTAAGGTTTCTTCCGGCTCATTTTCCCAGAAGCTCCTTGGTGGTGGCAGTTTCGGGATTTGGGTCTTTGCTGCTGCACTTTCTCACCCGGAGAGCAGGAAAGAAGCAGAAGGCTTCCTGGATGCTTCACAAGAAAAGACACGCAGGAAGGAAGGGGTCCTCCTCGGCACGGTCCCCAGGCTGTTTCCTGGGCCTCAGCACCAAGCGCGTTTGCGTGCCAACGATGTGAAAGGCATAGGCTCTTTTGAGCAAACAGGAGGAATATCAGTTTTCAAAAAGACTTTCAGACGATACAGTTCCTCGAGTCCAGACAAGACCATCATGTCAACCAAAGCCTGAGCCGATGTCACCCTTGGAAACTCAATGGTCTTGGAGGCCATTGGAATAGACATTTTTCTTTGCAATTTAATTAGATCAAGATGGTCGATAGTGCTCCTTAAAGAGAGAGCTGAGCATTTAAAATTATCCCGAAGATATTTTTCCCTGGGGATCTGATCCGTAAGGGGAGCCGTGAACCTATCAAAACGTGCAGTAAGGAAGCTACATGTGTCATTTTCAACTAGTTCAGGCCAGTTAGGCTGCTCCCTGCTCTGAGCTGCCAGCTATTAGCTGTCATCCAATCTGGATATGAGACAGGCAGGTGGATAAGAGAGACATCATCTCGTTAGGACCTGCAGGGACAGGTAAGCTGAGTGCCTATCACAGCACACATCTCCGAGGCAGGCTCAAGCTCCCGCGCAAAGCGCCGTGTTAGATGGACTTTTTCATTTCAGTGACATTTTTTTGGAAAGGTTAGCACTTAATCCTCTCTCAGGATGGAATTATTTCAGTTCCCACTGATCCTTCCGATAACTGAGGCAGGGTTTCATTTTTTTTCTTGCTACCTTGGTATCTAATTTTATAAAAGCCTTCAACAATGTAATAATTTATTGTAACAACAGGACGGCTACGTGTAATGACTCGTCTATTTTCTATTAATTTTCTAACCAAATCGTTCCCTCTCACCACTGAGAAGCTGTGTGTGCCTTTCTCTGCGGGTTTCATTAAGACTGTTTGAAGTCATGATGGTGAGATCATTATGATGTTTTTGAAAGATAGTGGGTTTCAAAGAGTTGTAGGTACAAGACTTAAAAAGATTCAACGTCTTAATTCCTGTCCTCAGCTACTTTTCCAGGACTCTGATCTAGATGTGCGGTAATTGGTATCATTTTCCTTACAAACTCACCCCTAGCTTTGATTGTTGTTATTACACCCACCCCTCTTCTGAAGTGAATGTAATAAGAAATTAAAAAACAAGCCAGAGCCTAGCATCTTGTAAGGAATTCAAGGCCAACATGGAAATGGCTGTGTCCATATGCAATCACACAAAGCAGGGTTATTATACACATCCTTATGGAGGGGGGAAACTGAAGCAGAAGATCTTTGTAAAAAGCATTCTTTCTTAGATATCCATTTTTAAAAATTGTTTAAAATAGTATATTTATTTTTGAGACAGAGAGAGAGAGAGCATGAGTTGGGGAGGGGCAGAGAGAGAGGAAGACACAGAATCCAAAACAGGCTCCAAGATCTGAGCTGTCAGCACAGAGCCCGATGTGGGGCTTGAACCCACGAACCGTGAGATCTGACCTGAGCCAAAGTCGGACACT